AGTACTTTGGGACATATTGTATTATTCCCTACTGCATTGTACACAACATTGATATCTCACTTGTATAGGGTCATTCCCTTTTTGTGTGGATGTAGTTTGTCCGACAGACTTGCGTCCGGCATACTTGTGGCGAATCCCGACATCACGATCAAAGTACGATTGTACGTGTCGAAAACTTCATACTTGAATAGTTTCTTTTCGGAACGTAAAAACTCATATTTCGTCATATCCCAACATAGACACAGGAGAACTATTGTTGTGAAAGTGTTGTACAGTTGATTACAAATTTAGATTGCAGAGAGTTTGTTCTGAGTACTAAAGGCACTCACGATAGAGCACATTCTGCTTTATTCTAACAATCACTTCAAACATTCATGGATTGTTACCTTGTTCCAATTTGGTCTAAATCCTTGCTAATGCCATGATAAAAGCATATGTCATCTTGTGACGCCATGCATGAAACCAGCACTGTGTTGTAGAGCCCCTCAATTGCAATCCTATTGCTTCTCCTCTTTTCTTCTCACTTTGTTTTTCTTTCCTTTTCCTTTCTTCTTCCTTTTTCCCCTTCTGTTCTCCCTACGGGATCTAGTATAAACCGCTCCACCAGGATAAAAGCATATGTCATCTTGCAACGCCATGCATGAAACCAGCAGTGTGTTGTAGAGCCCCTCAATTGCAGTCCTATGGCTTCTCCTCTTATCTTCTCACTTTCTTTTTCCTTTTTTTTCCCTTTTCTTTTCCTTTTCCTTTCCTTTCTTCTTTCTTTCTCCCCTTCTTTTTTCCCTAGGGGATCACCAGCATGAAATAAAAAAAGCATTAGGAGTTTGCTTTTTGGTGGTGGGGTCTTTAGTGAATTTTTAGCTCATGAGAGTTAGTGGATTCACTAAAGATGAGTCTATTTTTAGTGGTTTGAGCCAATCACAGCTCTCTATCAATAATGATATATTTGACTAACTTTCTTCCACACTAAATTAGTACTCTTCACAGACTTCAAATGATGTTAGGGGGATGTTACTAGATTCAAGCTCCATCCGGCCATAGCAGTTTCTCTTTTTCTTATCACACAAATAAGCATCTTGTCTTAAGGACAAAGTCTTGATCTATTCTTCCATATGTAGAGACAGTAGTATTTGTTATTGGCTTAGAGGTGCTTGGACATCATTTCAATACTGTAGGTGGTTCAGACGCATAGAATATCACATCAAACATTCATGGATTGCTACCTTGTTCCAAATCTGTCTAAATCCTTGCTAATGCTAGGATGAAAGCATATGTCATCTTGTGATGTCATGCATGAAACCAGCACTGTGTTGTAGAGCCCCTCAATTGCAGTCCTATTGCTTCTCTTCTTTTCTTCTCTCTTTTTCTTTCTTCTTCCTTTCTCCCCTTCTTTTCTCCCTAGGGGATCTCGTATAAACCGCTCCACCAGCATGAAATAAAAATCTTCATTGGTTCTTCTTTTATGCTGGTGGGGTCTTTAGTGAAATTTGAGCCAATGAGAGTTAGTCGACTCACTAATGATAGACCAATCTTTAGTGGTCTGAGCCAATCGCAGCTCTCTATCACTAATGATGGATCCGACTAACTCTTCCACACTAAATTTGTACTCATCAAAGACACATCATACCGCGCCATTTACTTCACAACACTTCCCCAAAATGCATTGAACTTGATGAGGCAACAGAAGCAACAGCCATGTACACCATGAAAGGACATGCACGTTCACAGAGGCCAACCCTTGACGATGCACATAAGGGGAACATCTCTGCCTTCATGAACTCCTTGTACGCCAATACTCAACAACCGGAAGCTGAAGCCAAGGTAGCTCAACATTCTCAAGATCAACAAGTGGTGGAGCAGTTGGTGGAGCAGTTGGTGGAGCAGCCTCCTCCCGAGTTTGTTGAACAAAATGACAGCATGCCAATATTTCCGAATCTTGACACACTTGATGATGAAGAGTTGGTTGATGAAGATCTCAATACGGAGAAAGCAACTGAGCGGACCATCATGCGCCGGTATCTTGAAGCTATCCAAAAACGGCTCATCCATGAGCTTTCAGACAAATTTCCCATAACTGGAGAAACGTGGCTCCTTGACATTCTGAAAAGCAATGACTGGTGGATCCCTCAACACAAATACAGTTTCATCTGTAAGAAGCTTGCTATCCAGTTCGAAAAGGAAGAAAAAGAAGCGGCATACTTCAGAAAAGTTTATGTTTGGCTGCCTGATGTTAGATGGGGTCCAACTTGCATGCGGGCATGTGGCAACTGTGGCTCAAACAAATCTGTTGGGAATAATGGCTTCCGCAACAACCATTTTGGGCGCAGAGCAGTTGCTCTAGATCATGACTACTACTGTGTTTCAAGATGGTATTGATGTAAAAACTGCGAGCAGAAGGCAAGAGATGCAAAGATAGCAATTGAAGAAAGTGCTGCGGCAAACAATATTGCAATCCAATTCTCAGACGAAGCAATAGACAAGTAACAGTATACATTCATGGCATGGAATCGTAACACACTTGAGCTGTACCCACATGGTATTGGTCAAGACTTCCCTGCATTTTTGACCCATCGGTCTGGAGTGGATTGCCTTCTTCTGGGCATGATGCGCCCTCTTTTTGATAAAGGCCTACGGCCTGGGGCCCTTGCAGACACCATTCTGGAACTGCATGCAAAGCGGTATCATCAGGAATGTCTAAAACATGAATGGGGACTAGCAAAGACTGGCAATGTTCATCAGAAGCCTATGCTTTCAGAATTTGGGGACAAAACAAAGTACAATGGATTGGTCCCAAACGGAAGGTATCTGATGCACGTATACAAGACCTTTCACAGTACCATCAAGGACTTTCTCGACAACAAAGTAAAGAAAAGGGGCGCCAAATTTGTTAGCGTTGATGCCAGTTACAAAGAACCAAAACATCTTTGTCAGTATCATGGGCAGAATCTTTTTAAGGGACTGATTACTATCACCAACGAAATTGGGGAAATCCGGATGCAATTTCACGTTGTCACTGATGATCATGAACAGTTTCGGCCGTCTCTGCTTGCTTTCTTGAATGCAGTGAAATCATACGGCCAACATGATTTGGAGCTTGTGTTCACTGCCAATGTACATGCTGATCGGCACTTTTACTTGGACACTTTTCCCTCTTTGTTGGAAGCTCAAGGTCGGCTTGATATTATGGTGACGGATAGAACAATGCCCAATGAAAATGACATCAATAAAGAAAACACGTGCACAGTCGATGACACTCAAATTCGTGTGCTTTCAAGCAAAGGCGCTATCAACGAGTTTATCACAGCACTCAAAGAAAACATCCAAGGCAAACCACCAGAGGATCGAGTAATAGGGCTTGATGCAGAATGGAATGTCCTCACAGCAAGCCATGGAATGGGAATGCGAACTGGAAAGCTTGCCCTACTAATTTTGGCATACAAAGACAGTGGCGGGCGTCAAATGGCTGCTCTATTGAGACTTCATAAGCTCTCTTCACTTCCGGATCGCATGCTTCATTTCTTGGTTGGAGGAACAAAGTTTGTTGGGAACCATGTTGGTGGGGACATTAGAAGACTAGGGCGTGACTATAAATGCGAAGATGAGATGATGAAGGTTTTAATAGTGAATTTGGGGCAGTATGCAAGAGAAAGAGATGTTGTCCAGAGCGGCACTGTAAGATTGGACGTTCTAGTTCAGATTTGTTTAAAGGAAACCATGAAGAAGCAAACTGCAGTTCGTGTCTCAAGCAAATGGGAAGATCCTTCATTATCACAAGACCAAAAGCAATATGCAGCACTGGACGGGATCAAGTCACTTGAGGTTTATCTCTACCTACGGGAGAAACCAGACCTTTCCCTCCGGCTATCAGAGAAGGAAGCAAAAGTTGGTCTTTGCGTTGATATTGCACCACTTCGCGGAGGACCTACTAGTATGGTTGCAACTAGGTGCGGAAGTGCCACATTGACAGAACAATCCTTTCGTGAATGGGAAGTGCCATCTGGTATGCGACTCAACACTGGCCAGATTTCGACTTGAGGTCGATACCGTGTTGTGGATGTACTCTCTGTCCTCGCACCACATTACATAGTGCCATATGTGAAGAAAGAAAGTGGTGAGCCTGTTTGTCTTGCTGACTTTGGGGCTCCTCCATTCCTTGTCATTCTACCTTTGACCATGTTGAAGCAGCACATTGAATCTGATGATATCCAAACTTTCCCAAATATGAACGATGACACTGGAACAACAAGGACTACTACTCCACCAGCACCGCCGCAGTCACCGAGGACTGTGCAACACCAAGTGATTAATCAAGATGATACTTCCACAGAGGAGGAAGACAGTACTGGACCAACTGGAATGGATCTATTGGATAACAATGCTGATGCTGAAGCTGTTCATTTATCCAATGATGATGTGACACTACTTCGCAAGGTGTGTCTTCTTGGCAAGGAAGCAGCTTTGAGACATAACCTGTTGACTTGTGCACATCTTGAACCGGCCCCAACTCCAGACACAATCAATGATTGGTTTTCAGCTGTTGTTGGTGATGCCTTCCATGTAATGGATTGAGCAAAATTTCCAATGCAACATGAGACCAAAAAGACCTATTTTGTAGCACTCTGCGATGCCATTCTTCAGTTTGATCCCAATCAGCTCAAAGAGGTGAAGAGCGCAGTGAAGGAAAAAGACGGAAATACTGATAACGAGATAGACGCAGACATCTATTTTAATCCGGCCTTCTGGAAGGCATGCGTCAGAAGACGGATCCTACCCCCTAGGTTGCTCTACTGGAGGATCCAAGCTGTTTTTCTTTCTTTCGGTAACATGATTGACTCAAGAAGCAAGAAACCGCTATTCAACAAGCTTGCATGGAAGAAAGCCAACAATATACTGAAAGAAGTCTTGCTAGGCTACTACTCTGACCCTCCAGGATACTCATTTTATTCTACAAAGGGGAGAACCAATGGTAAATGCCTATGGTTTTGATATTCTTTGTTGCAGACGTGGGACCAATGACGTGGAGAATACCCACAAGTTACTTCTGACAATATTTGGGACATGGCATATTAGAATTGAGATGTCAGATTGTTTGCTGAGAGAAAGGAGACATCGTCACAATCAAAGATGTTCAGAGCTCCGTCGACTAGTCTTCCCTCGCATAGGGCATTTTGACACTTGGAAGATTGACGCACTGCAGAGTCTGGTCCTGGCCAATCATGGAGTGTTGTTGCATTCAAATTGGGTCAATTCAAGCGACTTCAAGAATACACCAGAAACATTTGGGACTATTACACTGCATGATGCAGAGTTGGCGGATGCACTTTCAAACATTCCAATTGACAAAAATGTGCGGCTGACTCATGATATGCAGTATTTGTGCAAGGTGATGGGAACCAAGCTTCCATTGCTCCCTATTCACACTGTTGCAGAGCGTCAGCTCTTCTCACAACTTGTACTACTCAACACTTTTGATGCTAGGAAAATGGCTCTGGAATGGGTTAAATCGGTAGACGGTGTTAACATTTATCCTAAGCTGCCAGTGCATCTCCGGAATTATTGTGTCACTTTCAACCGGAATGCCAGAGCACGCCAAGCTTTTGCAGATGCGCAAGAGTCTAGGGAAATTCTGGCTGCCTTGAATGAGGCTCTATGCCCGGGAATTGAAGGCATAGATGGAACTGATGTACAAGACACTCCACAGCAGTTGGATACCTACACCAGACAATGGCCGCCAACTTGTCCACCACCGCCACTGCTACTTCCATTGGCTCCATCTGCAATGGAGCTGAGAAATATTCATGTGGGCGGCGTTCTCATAGGTTTCAACCATAGATCGAAATAGGAAGAGACGAAGGAGGGAGAGAGGGCCGGACGCCAGGCCAAGACCAAGGCGCAGATGTATGGTGTGCAAGGAAAAGGGTGAGACAGACCAAAACTGTCCAGGTAGCAGATATCGAGCTTGCTGCAAACACCTACAAAAATAATCTGAAGTAGCCTAAATTCATTTACCATTTATTCTGCTTAACATCCGACTGATTGCCTCTCTCTGACTGCGGACATTCAGAACCTTTTGACGACTTTTCACCGCGTGTAGTTTTTTCCGCAAATTAAGATCAACTATTTTTCATCACGGTTAAGTTCCATTGTTGTGTGGATGTAACTTTTACACTACCGGAAGATATTCAATTTCCGGGTGTGAAACGCGTAGTATTTTTAAAATAAGTATATGGTGCATTTCATTACTCATAGGAAAATGAAATAAAAGAGAAAAAGCAAACGAGCCGGTTGATTTCTGTCAAAGAAGGACTGCAAAGTTTCACAAAGGTGATGGAATGAGTGATGTACACACCCATTCCGCCGATGATCATTCTCTTTCCAGAGGTTACCGCCATTAGTGGCGAACTCCTTTGCAATATATATGAAGCATTGACAGATATCGCTTTGCACATTTGGAGAGAATCGATACCAGGAAATCTATCCTGGCTGCGCCAGGATGACAAAGTGTCACAGTGTGGCGTCTTACGACGCCATAGAAAGCATGCGTTCTGTTATTTGTAGGCTACAGAGTCTTGACATCGCGGATCGTCTCCTTTTTTCCCTTTTCTTTTCTTTTCTTTTTTCCTTTCCTTTCTTTTCTCCTCTTTCCCCTTCTTTTTCCCCCCAGGAAAACGATGACTTTAGAATTCCTCGTGGTTCCTTCTCGCGAGATGACCAATAAACGAAGAAGACATTTCTCATATATAGGAACATCTTGTCGTTCATAAATAGTTTAGAACCAAAAGGTGAACCAGCCTAGAAGAAGAGATAGGAATGGGTCACAACAGAAGTTATAGAGTCTCTCAGAAAGCCACAGAAAGGAGTGATGTAAGAGTTAGTCCTAAAGCTATGTCTGTACCTCCAAAGGGTCTAATCTAGTTCCAGGGTCACTCCAAGGTCATTACACTCTTCCCTTCTATGATCAGAGCCAGTCGATTGATCATACACTAAAGTCACAAGGCGTCCTTACATCCACTTGATCCTCCATTCAACTTCAGAGGTGGTTCTTGACGCAATGGGCGATGCAAGTATATCGTCCATTAGACTCGACGGAACGGCACAAGCCGTCTGATGTTGATCCTCTCACGGATCGCATTTGTGCGCTGAATTTCCACTGTACCATTAGTGTAAACATTTGTAATAGGATACGGACCTCCAACTTTCTTCCATCAGTATTCTTGATCAAAACTTCTCCACCAATTCTGTAATCAAACTCTTTTCGTTTCGCGTTCTGTCTCCTCAAGTTTTCATTGATCTTATACTGTCTCTTTTGCTGCATAGAAAGTAGATCGACAATCACAGGAATGTTTAGTAACATGTCACGATGAAACACAGTCTCACCAGGAGTATTGTTCATCAAAGCTGTCGATACAGCACATCTCATTGCATGGTTACAAGCAGCAAGAGCTCGCTTGACTTCTTCAACAGCAACTTGAAAGTTTGGAGCGGCATTATTGTATCTGGTGCGCAAAATGTTTGCCACTGTCAAATGCATTCTTTCACAGATCGCATTGGCGGTCGCATTCTTGCTAGTGGTTCCGCCATCATGGATTCCCCAAGTAGCGAGTTTCGCTTGGAAGGCTTCGCCAATGAATTCGCCTCCTTGATCGTGAATACACTTGTATGGTCTCGGATACCGCGACAACCACAGCATTTCAAACACGCTTGCTACATGTGTTGCAGTTTTATTCTCGATAAAAGCAAGTTCAGTGAGATTTGTCACGGGATCAATACAAGTCAACGCATTGAATTCAAGTTCTCTACCGTTGACGTCAATTTTCCATGGGCCAATCAAATCGACCGCAACGGAGAACCATGGAACCAAATCCGTGTGTCTTTCAGGTAACTGTCCGTATTGAACATTCGCCGCTTTATTGAGTTGGCAAATTTCACAATTGAATCGTTCAATTTGTTGCTTCAATCCAGGAGAATAGAATCGCTTTGCAATTGTAGCATACATTGACGTTTTTCCTCTGTGTCCAAGCACAAGGTGATACCAGGTGATCACATCATCAACCAAACTCAAAGGCAAGTAAATTCTCCAATCGTCTTGACGTGCAGGATCAATTTGATAGGTGATGATGAGACGCTCGTCAATTGTCGTGATCTGGTAGTGCTGTGCATCGCGTTGAGCTTGTTGCATTAGCAGTTGATCTTGAGTTTGATGTTGTTGAATGTTTGGCATTGTGATTGGGTTCGGCATCGTTTGTAGAGGAGGAGGATTCAAAAAGGACTCTTCCATTTCAATGTCGTCAATGGTCAGGTGTTCATGAATATCTCCATCTCGACAACAGGAGAACTGACATCGAAAGGTACTGTTGAACTCGGCTTCTGTTGGTGGCATGATCAAATCATTTTCTTTTACGAGAACATTATCTTCAAACTTGTAGATTTCGTCTTCGGGATCAACCGAAACCTGTAATTTATCAAACGCAATCAATTTACCCTTATTTGGACTCTTCCCTTCAGACGGCTTCTCCATTTGCAGAAGCCAAGAGAAGCAGTCGGCAATCGCGTTATCTTTTCCAGGGAAATAGACAAACATTGGAAAAGAAAGTCAGTTGATATTTAAGGGACCATGCCCCAAAATCAGCAGGGTGTGTCTTTTTGGGGCTTGGGTCGCCTCCCCTAGAATTGATGAAGGCGATATTTTCAGAAAGCCCATTTGATTATGAAGCATTCTATGATTTGTCACTTTGTTTGTCACTTGCGACCTCTGACATTCAACTTAACCATGTCCTACTTTCAGAGTACCCTTCTTATTAGGAACCTTCCCCTTTGTTTGTTGTTGTG